AATTTAGGATAACCTGAGAGGAGGCAGCAGAAAGAAGGCAGAAGGAGACCAAAGACAAACTTCTAGTCCAGAGTTCTGCCTTCGTCTCCCATCCTCTCCTTTTTCCCTTCTACACTGCAGAAATTGGCTCCCAGAATCCAAAATTCAGAAATGAACCCAAACTTATCAGTATGATCCTGTCTCATTCCACATTAGGTAATCCTTCACAGGTTACCCCGGGACTTCAGCTGCCATGTATTACGTTTTTATAGGATTATATGATACTAATCCCAAGCAATCTACTTAAAGTGAACTCTGGGAACCCAAACTGGAAATGAACCTATATGCTGACAGTCACAATTTCAGTGTCTCTGTTGTAAACACCAGTACCCTGTGATTCATGTTTCAAAACCTCCCCAGTTTCAAAATTTCTGTCATTCTTGTCTATTCCTTCCTGTGCCCTTTTATTCCATGAGTCATCGGGTCGTGATGATTTTTTTTTTAAAGAATACTTATCAATCCTACGACCACTGCTCTAAGCCAAGCTCTGATCACCTCGTAGCTAGCCTACTATAACAATCTCTGAAGTGGTCTACCTGCCTTCTGTCTCTCCTACCTCCCACACATGCTTTCAGCACTAACGTCCTTAAAGAAAAACTTCCATGATCAGAATTTTTGAAATGTTGTTTTGAAGACTCTCTGGAGCCTCTTCCTCAAAAAGCTCTAAAATTGCTGTTATCTGAGTTCCAAATAAAATTTTATTCGAAAAATCAGATTTGCTACTAAAGAATTAAAAAGACAACTATCAAAAGCAAATGTTCATCTTGGGGTAGAGACAGTTAAATGTAAAAGATCAAGCAAGAAGACAATCTTTAGGAAGCTAAACATAAAACTATTTTGTGCTACAATTCTCTATAATATTTGCATTTTTATTATTAATGTTCTATTTGAACAGTTCTTTTTTGTTATAAATTATTTACAAAAACAGGCTGTCTATAGCAAACAGTTGTGTTTTGTGTGTGAAATCCTTAAAATGTATTAGATGGCAGTGCTAGAAGCTTCTAAAATACACTATTTTAGATATATGATACTTACAAGGTTTTGTCTGTTAAAAAAAATCAACTCTTTGCAAATCAATATATGACATGAATCATGTTATTCTTCCTAAAATCATGTTATTCTTACTAAAATAATGTAGCTTTTTAAAAACCACAATAGCTGCAATTGATATTGAAGCAACACTGCTGTGTTGAGTCATTTACAAACTTTTAAAGCAGAGTGTGAAGATATTTCAAAAGTCATCTTCTAAAAAAATCTCCTTCATTCCTCAAGTGTCACCTTATCCTGATATTATGGAATAAAGCTGGGTAAGTTGAGGATTTTTTAAATATTTTTTAAATTTATGAATTATTTCTGGAATCTTCCATTTAATATTTTATTTATTTATTTGTTTGTTTGTTTATTTTTTATGGTGGCCTTTCTGTCATGATGTCTGCGGAAGACATCTTTTCTGGGGTAAAGGAAACTATTACTCACTCTCTATCTAATACATATGACAAGCCTCTAATGACATTATAGATACACATAACTTCAACATAGTGAGAGACTTCAAGCATCAGATTTGTGGCAAAAATCAGGTGTAGTGTTACCACACTTAAACAATGCAACCATAAAGGAGAAAGCATTAATTGGAGACAAGAGATCATTTGAAAGGTAAAACAGCAATGTTTATTTATACAGCTTAAAAAATATGCGGTCATACCTTACTGGTACAACTCTTGCACCTGCAGACTCCAGATACTTTACATAGGATGCAGCAATATAGTATTTTCCCAGGGTTTTCATTTTATTATGGCACTTTTGCATTAATATACCTAGATAACAACAACGACAAAAATTTAGTTTCAAGCAATTTCCTTTTTTCCTGCTTAGAAACTGAAACACGTCACAGTAAAAAAAAATATATCACTACAGTAGTCCCCCCTTATCTGTAGTTTCACTTTCTACCCACAGCCACACACGTCTAAAAACATTGACTGAAAAATGCCAGAAATAAACAATTCATACGTTTTAAATTGCATACCATTCAGAGTAGCATGATAAAATCTCGAGCTGTCCTGCTCCGTCCCACCACAGATGTGACTCCAGCCCTTTGTCCAGCATCTCCACGCTGGAGATGCCCACTCTGCCCCACCTCCCGTGCCCCCCTCCCCGCCCCGACCATATAGTCACATATTAGCCTTCTAGGTTATCAGATTGACTCTTGAGGTATCACAGTGTTTGTGTACGAGTCACCCAAAGCGCAAGAGCAGTGACGCTGGCAATTCAGATATGCCAAAAAGAAACCACAAAGCGCTTGCTTGAGTGAAAAAGTGCGAGGAGTACAATAAGATACTGTGAGAGTGAGAGAGAGAGGGAGGCACACCACACTCACATAACTTTTATTAAGCATACAGCTGACCCTTAAACATGGGACTGAACTGCACAGGTCCACTTATATGCTACTCTTTTTTCAATAAATATACAGCCAACCCTCTATATCCCCATATTCACAAATACAACCAACCACAGATCAAAAACATCCTTTCTTAAACAATCCCTACCAACTCCAACCAGTTCTCCGTATGGAAAGAAATGAGATCATATCATCGTTCATTCATTCACTCAGTATATATTACTGAATCATACTAGATACCAGGTACTGGACTAGGTGCTGCAGACACATGAGTGAACAAAAGGAACAAAAAGCTCTGTGGACTTTCATTCTAGTGTGTGTGGGGGGCGGGGCAGGCGAAGGGGGCAAGGAGGAGAGAGAACGCACAATGTAAAAAGGTAAAATACATTGCGTGACGGCTGGTGGTAAATGCTAAGGTGGAAACGTAAAGCACAGTGGGGAAGAGAGTCTCTTAAATATGGTGGTCAGGAACGTTCTCTCTGAGAAGGTAGGCCATGACATTTGGGCCAGGACTTCAGAGAGGTGAGGGAGTAGGCCATATGCTGATATCTGGAGGAAAAGGGATCCAGGGTAAAGGAACAGCAAGGGCAAAGGCCCTGGGTTAGGTGTGTGCTTGTCACATTGCAAGGAAGTCATATGACCCTGTATAAGGAAGCCCTGTATAAGGAAGGAAAGAAAACAATGATATGAAATGAGATCAAAGAGATAACAAATCAGAAGAGTGTACCTCCACGGGCTCCTGAATTCTCATAAACATTATAAGACCCCACCTACCTCCCCAGCTGCCTCTTACCACTGAAACCTCAGCCCCAGCATAGGATTGAGTCACATCAAAACACTTCTATCTGGAGGGTACATCTGTGCCATATCATTTACTACTTCACCATCTGGAATAGTTTAAATGTCTCTGTTGGCCATCCGACAGGCAGCACTGTCTACATCAATCACTTCCATAGTCCCAGCTTTTCAAAATAACTGGCATTTATCAGGTGCTCAGTTAACACATGCCAAATGCTGAAATTTATTCAGTAAGACTGCTTTTCTCCTCATGAATAGATAAGATCGTCTTCATTGAGGGAAATGAAATTTGGTAGTGAAAGAATTAGGGAGTGTCATGGGAAATGGAGCGGTTACGCCCTGTGCCTTTCTGTATAGTACAAGCGCCAACCCAGGGCCACAAAGGAGACCCGGGACATGCGAACTTAAGGTACCAGAACCAAGAAAAGTACAAGAGAGTAGGTAAGTTCCACCAACTCTTCCCACTCTCCTCACCCCACATACTCACCTTTCCCATCCTGTATTCCCAGCCCTTCAAAATATGAACAAAATTTCACCCACACATCTCACAACTTTTGTGGCTTCCTTGTCTTTGAACCCTTTGCACTTTCTAACTCGATGTTTTGCACATATCCAGTTAACTATTTGCCTTAATTGATCAGAGTGACCAAAAGAATACTCATTGTTTCTATATCTGACCCTGGACTACCACTGTTTCTGTGAAAAGGAAAAAAATCCGCTTCCTCTTTCCTTCCTCCCTCCTTCCTGCACCCACAATTCCCAACACACCACAGAATTATAGTTTGAGTTAATTCTCCTTGGAGAATCAACCATCATTTAGAGTAGCTATAAAATAAGGTATTCCGATTTCCAAATATTGATACACAACCCATTTAAGATTGGGCACTACCAATACATATGAAAAAATGCTCACGTACTTTGGATAGAGTTAAAAAATACAGTGCTCCTCTTCATGGAAGAAAAAACAATATAAATGGCATTATACTACAACTAAAATAAAACCAATTGCAATTGTCCAACATAAATTATTTTGGGCAATTTTTTTTTCTTCCAGGCTGATTTCTCCTGGGTAGCGTCCTCCTGCCCTGTCTCAAATGTCTGTTCTGGCAAAGCAAGGTTTTACTCTTTTTAAAACAAATTTGTTGGAAATGAAAAATTACATGCTTCATTTTGACAAGACATTAGGATCCTATTAGTCACTGCTGCCCTCCGCTGCTGAAGATGACAAAGTCCGAGGTACATCATAATTTCTTGATTATCCAGTCAACTGGATTTGTATATGTATAATGCATTGTATCTCGAAATACGCCCTCAACCAGTGAAATTTGAATGAATAATACAAGTGCGTAATTTGTTTAATTAGCACAAATTCCTAGCTATGTACAAAGAAGAAAATCGCAAAGCTCTTCATAATGCTCCCTCCCTCCTCCATCGTAACTTGAATGCCACGTGAAATTGAGGCCTTAGCTCTATTTAGCACGTTCCAAAGGTGTCTTGGCTCGGCTCTTGTAACTAACTATACAGAAAGGCACACGACGTAACCTTGTGGTTCGGTGTCCCCGGGAAGGGACGCGCTAGCGGGAGCCCGGCGGCCGGGAGCCGCAA